GGCAAGCCTCATTCCTACACCATCTTTTTTTTTTTCTTTTTTGTCCTTTTGAGACAGGGTCTCCCTGGAGTCCCAGCTGGCCTGGAACTCGCTATGTAGACCAGGCTAGCCTTGAATTCATAGAGATCCACCTGCCTCTGCCTCCTGAATGCTTGGATTAAAGGCATGTGCCATCATACCTGGGTTATACATCTTTTTTTTTTTTTGGTCTTTTTGAGACAGGGTATCCCTGTAGCCCCAGCTGTCCTGGAACTCACTGTGTAGACCAGGCTGGCCTTGAACTCAGAGATCTGCCTGCCTCTGCCTCCCAAGTGCTGGGATCAAAGGCGTGTGCCACCATGCCCGGCTATACAACATCTTTTATCTCAACACCATCACTTTGAGCTGTCTCGTCATATTCCTTCTTACATGTATCAAAACTCATACTGAACAGTTGAGTTCTGGGTTGGAAAAGAGGATTTATTTTTGCACCTGTCTTTCATGCCTTTATCCCCAGTTGAACAAACACAAAGTAATTGCAAAGGATTTTCTTTCTTTTTTTAATACTTATTATTTTCATTTTATGTGTATGAGTGTATTTACTGCATGTGTGTAAATGCACCTGTGTTGTGCAATGCCTGCGGAGGTCAGAAGAAGGCATCAGATCCCATGGAACTGGAGTTATGGATGGTTGTTAGCTGCCATGTGAGTCCTGGGAATCCCAGAGCAGTCAGTGCTCCCAACCTCTTGAGCCATCTCTCCAGCCCCCAAGATTTTCTTAATTGGGAAAACCCACTTTGAATGTGGGTGGCACCGTGTCAGGGACCGGGCCCTAGAATGAATGAAAAATAGAGATGCTGAACACTAGCATGCATACATTAATTCGTTGCTCTCTGCTCTTGACTGTGGATGTTGGATGACTAGCCCCTTCCAGTTCCTGCTACTTCCTTAACTTTCCTTCAGTGATGGCACCTGAAACTGTGTACCAAAAAACTCTCTTTTAAATTTCTTTTGTTGGGGTATTTTATCATAACAGGAAACAAAACTACAGACACACACACACACACACACACACACGACAAATAACTCAAATATTTCTCCAAACAACTTAGAAGATACACAAGTGGACAAAGAGCATATTAAAAGATGTTCAATATATCTAATCATTAGGAAAATGAACATAAAACCACAATGAAGTATCACCTCATATCTAGTGTATTAGTTACTTTTCTGTTGCTGTGATAGAAACACTGACCAAAGCAACCTGTACAAGGAAGAATTTATTTGAGCTTACAGTTCCAAAGGGGCAAGAGTCCATCATGGCAAGGAAGCATGGTGGCAGAGGTGGCTGGAGGAGGAGCAGAAGCTAAGCTTTCACATTTTCAAGCAGGCACAGGAGGCAAGAGTGCAACTCCAGATCCAGTAAGACTTAAGAACTCCCTAAGCCCACCCCAAGTGAATGTTTCCTCCAGCATGTCCTGGTGCTTTCTCCCGATCAACCGGATTCATCCATCACCTACTTTACCTATCACTTCTAAGATCTTCCAAAACAGCACCACCAACTGAAGACAAAATGTCCAAATACTTGGAGCCTATGGGGGACATTTTCATTAAAACCATCACATCTAGTAAGATAGCTAGAGAGAGAGAGAGAGAAATATTGGCCAGGATGTGTACACTATAGGTAGTGATATAGACCTGGTGTAACTATGTTATGGAAAACATAAGAAATAGCTGAAACTTCTGTTTGCCTTACAAAACAAAATTAAAACCCAAAGCAGCTCAGCATAAAAATAGCCCCCCTGCAACTTTCTCTTCTTCTTCTTCTTCTTCTTCTTCTTCTTCTTCTTCTTCTTCTTCTTCCTCTTCCTCTTCCTCTTCCTCTTCCTCTTCCTCTTCCTCCTCCTCCTCCTCCTCCTCCTCCTCCTTCTTTTCTTCTTCTTTTCTTCTTTCTCCTCCTTTTGTCCCTGGTACTAGGGTTCAAATCCAGGGCCTCATTCATCCTAAGCAAACACTCTACTGCTGAGCTACATTCTCAGAATGACTTTCTTTTTAGGATCAATAATGCTCTGTGGGGTGTGTGTGTGTGTGTGTGTGTGTGTGTGTGTGTGTGTGTCTGTTTATTCCATTGTCTGACAATGGACAGTTTGTTGCTTCCATGTTCTGACTGTTGTAAATAATGCTGCTATGAACATGGGTGTAAAAATATCTCTGAGGCCCTGTTTTCTTTTTTGTATTAATTTTTCTAGTTAGCACACAAAGTAGTGAAGTTGTTGTTGTGTGTTTTTTTTTTTTTTTTTTTTTTTTTTTGTCTTTTTGAGACAGGGTCTCCCTGTAGCCCCAGCTGTCCTGGAACTCACTATGTAGACCAGGCTGGCCTTGAACTCACACAGATCCACCTGCCTCTGCCTCCCGAGTGCTGGGATTAAAGGCGTGCGCCACCATGCCCAGCAATTTTTTAAAAATTTAATATGTGAGTGTTATCCCTGCACATATGTAAGTGCACCCATGTTGTGCAGTGCTCATGAGGATGGAAGAAGGCATCAGATCCCCTGGAAGTGGAGTTATGGATAGTTGTTAGCCACCATGTGGGTGATGAGATTTGAACCCAGGTCTTCTGCAAGAACAAAGAGATGGCTTTTAACCCCTGAGCCATCTCCCCTGCCCCCCATCATTATTTTGAAAATGTCAGAATTTCATTCTTTAAATATTTTCCCTCCCTCCCTCCCTCCCTCCCTCCCTCCCCTTAGTGTTTGTGTATATGTGTATGTGAATGTGCCACAGTATGTGTGCTGGATAGCTTCAGTTGTCAGCTTGACAAACCTGGTAAGAGGGAACCTCTATTGGGAATTACCTCTATTGGAAATTTCCTTTATTGAATTGGTGTGTGGGTATGTCTGTGAGGTATTTTCTTAAGTGTTGTGTGATGTGAGTGGTGCCAGTTCTGATTTGTATAAGAAAGCAGGCTGAGCTAGGTGTGGTGGCGCATGGCCTTTAATCCCAGCCTTTTTGAAACAGGGTCTCCCGGCAGCTCCAGCTGTCCTGGAACTCACTATGTAGACCAGGCTGGCCTTGAACCCAAAGAGATCCACCTGCCTCTGCCTCCCAAGTGCTAGGACTACAGGCCTACACCACCATGCCTGGCTCTAACAACTATCTGTAACTCTAGTTCCAGGGGATCTGACTCCCTCTTCTGACCTCCATGGGCATTGCATGGCAACGGGTACACTTACATACATGCAGGCAATATACATATACAAATAAAATAAATAAATAAACAAATAAAATATATATTTTTTGAAAAGCAGGCTGAAGGCTGGAAAGATGACTCAGTGGTTAAGAGCACTGGCTGCTCTTGCAGAAGACCTGGGTTTGAATTTCATCACCCACATGGAGGCTAACAACCGTCCGTAACTCCAGTTCCAGGGGATCTGATTCCTTCTTCTGCCCTCCATGGACATTGTATGACATGGGTACACTTACATACATGCAGACAGTACACTCATACAAATAAAATAAAAATAATAAAATATTTTTTCAAAAAAAAAGCAGGTCAGAGGAGCAAGCCAGTAAGCAGCATTCCTCTGTGGTCTGTACTTTCTGCCACAGGTTCCTGCCTTGGCTTTGCTTGATGAAGGACTGAACTGTAAGCCAAATAAACCCTTTTCCTGCAACTTGGTTTTGGTATGACCCACCTGGAGCAGTGCCCACAGAGGTCAAAAGAGAGTATCAAATCCCCTGGAATTGGAGTATGGTTGGTTGTTTGCTGCCATGTGGGTTCTAGGAATGAGTCAGCTTCTCTGCAAGAGCAGCCAGTGCTCTTAACTGCTGAGCCATCTCTCCAGCTCCCAAATGAGTTTTTCTTAATAAGAAGTTCAAGGCAAGCCTTGACTACATAGCAAGTTCAAAGCTAGTCTGGGTGTCATGAGAGACCCTGTCTGAAACAAAGCTTAGTTACTGTTATTTCTTCCCTTTTTTGACATTGTGTGTGTGTGTGTGTGTGTGTGTGTGTGTGTGTGTGTGTGTTGGAGGATTATGGTATATGCCATGGTATACCTGTGGAAGTCAGAGGACAACTTGCAGGAGTCAGTTCTCTCCTTTCACCATGTGAATCCTGGGGATCAAACTCAGGTCCTCAGGCTTGGTGCTTTTATGCACTGAACTATCTCACTGGCCCTCTAAACTGTTTTTGTTTTTGCAAGTGTTATGTGTATGTAATATGCATATATGTGTATATGTATGTTTGCATGTGTATGGTGCACATGTATATGGAGGCCAGAGGTTGACATTGGATGAGTTCCTCAATAACTTTCCACTTTATTTACCAAGGTAGGGTCTCTCTCTTGGGAGCTCGCCAATGTGGCTGGTCTAGCTAGTCAGTTTGTCAAGAGGAATCCCCTGTGTCTGCATCCTGAGTGCTGGGATTATAGGGGGCCTGGCATTTATGTAGATTCTGGGGATCCAAATTCAGGTCCTTAGGCTTACCTGACAAACATTTTAATCACTGAGCTGTCTCCCCAGTCCTGCCCACAAGCAGATGTTCCATAGTGCTCAGAGTTCTCAGTGCTATGTGAACGGTCAGTCCTAGGCAATGCTGTAGAATGGAAGATACTTTTTCAGATGGAAAAGGTACATTTTAGGCCTTCTAAAAACACCTTGCTTTGAGCTTCTCGCCTCAGAGGTGGTTTTTGGTTAGTAAAACATGTAAAAACATGTACAGTTATAACCTCATGTAGAAACTGATTTAATAACCTAGGATTCAGGCAGAGTTGACAACAGAGGGAGTGATCTCATGATGCCAAGATTTTTTTGTCATGAAGTAAAAGATTGTTTTGGTGTATGTATAAGATGGACATAAGTAACCTTTGGGAGTCTAGACACAATCTCACTGAACTCCCTTTTTCAGATATCTAGTGAAAATATTGTTTAAAGGCCCATTGTCATTGTATAATGCTATACTTTCTTGTTAATGGAAAGGGAAATGACTCTTGTCATCATTGTCTTCACTTGCCCTTGGACAGAGCTCATTCTTCTCTTGATGAGGACCTGGAAAGATTGCTGCAGTCACCTGAGCAGAGCATGGAGTTACTGGACCCCTCCAAGGGCTCTACAAGGTTATTTTTCCCAATTATGGAATTATTTCCTTATGTTTTATAGGGGAAAACATAAAATTTTTTATATGCTTAGGACATAAGAGTATTATTATTCCTTCCTTTTTTCAGGAAGTGGGCTAGGTTTTAGACATCTTAGAGAATAAATATCTGGTGATGGTGTTACACTGCTGTAGATAAGCCATCCCTGATTCCATCTGTTTGCACTCTCACACTTGGCTTTCTTCCTCCAACCACACATTTTCAAGATACTGATTAGCAGACTGATACCAATATAGAGCTCTAAAATTGGATTTTAGCTCTGCCACCTTCAACATTTGCATCAGTTGCGTTAAGTCAGAAAAGGCGTTTCAAATAACACAAATTTAGGAATGGATGCTAATATGATGGATGATAGACTGGCAATGCAAAAAGTGAAAATGTTTCTACTGCAAAAGTCAAAGGTAAAGCCAGGATTAGTTGTTGCACATCTTTGGTCCCAGCTAACTCAGGAGGCCAAGGGGAAGATTATTGAGCCCAGGAGTTCAAGGCCAACCTAGGCCACATAGGGAGATAATGTCTTAAGTAAATAAAACAAACAAAAAAATACAGTTAAAAGATTGGCAAGTTTTTGATCTAGAAGTATACAATGTGGGATATCTGGTCTGACTAAAGAATTTTTAAAAACCTTATTCTTTCTTTTAAATATTGTGTGTGTGTGTGTGTGTGTGTGTGTGTGTGTGTGTGTGTGTGCAGAGCGCATAGAGCTCAGAGACCTCAGATATCTAGGAGAGAGAAGGCATCAGATCTCTTGGAGCTAGACTTAGAGGTGGTTATGAATCACCTAATGTGGGTGCTGGGAACTGAACTTGGGTCCTCTGAAAGTGCAGAATATGCTCTTAGCCTCTGAGCAATCTCTCTAGCCCCATGACTAGAGAACTTTTTATTGGAAACTCTACTCACTATAATTATATTGAAGGTAGGAAGTCCTAATTCATGTGCCTAGTACTTAGGTAATTTTAGAAAAAGTCAATATAGCATTTGGGTAGGATAAATGGAAATGAGCTATCCAGATCAAGGGAATTGAACCATATGTAATATTGCTATTCAGAGGACTCCTAGAACGCATCTTTAAGTGGCTGTTAATCAGAAAAGAGTGGCCACAGAATAGTCACAGGTCTGGAAACCAGGTTATATGAGAACAGCTGAAGGAGCCAGGGAGGCTCAGTCAGAGAAGAACAGATGGAATGGAGAATTTGATAGCTGCCCTCAAATACCCGAAGAGAGTCAGCTTACTGTCGTCTATCCTAAAGGACAGAGCTGGTGACTGGAAGTTGCAGAATAACAGATTTGTGTTAGTAAAGCATACACTTTCTAATGGTCACAGCCATTATAATGATAGAGGAAACAGCTTTTCTATTTCAACAATGGCTGCTGCTGCTGAGGCAGACTGGACTCTGGTCTTGGGCATTTGAACAGAAGTAGAAGATGAACTCAAAGGCCTCCTTCCACTCTTGAGCCTGTTAGTGAAGGTTAAAAGGGGAGAAAAGTCCCTTTGTACCTTAGTGTGTTCTCTCTCTCTCTCTCTCTTCCTTTCTCTTTCTCCCCCCCTTTCACTTTCTCTTTTTCCTTTCTCCCAGTCCTCACAGTCTATGCACAGTACCTGGTTTTCAACTGTGAAATGCTTAAATTATTTAGATATATCACAGTAAGTTTAAGGGAAATGAAAACAAGGTAATAATTATTTGAAAAGAATACCAATTATAATATAAAGAAAATGCTCTTTTTTTCCTTTGAGGTTATTTATATAGTCTAATGATTGAAAAGCAGAGTTTGATTAGGTAGGCTCTGTGGGTTAGATCCCAATTCTGAGACTCACTAGGTGTGTGACTTTCAGTGTCTCACCTTCCTTATCACATTATGGAGATAATAGTGATAAATAATATAGTTCTGAAAAGTGAGTTAACATACATTGTAGCATTTAAACCAACACTTGGCCCATAAGAAACATCCTGATAGCACTAAATACTGTATATTTACTTTGGAATGTAGTCTTGTTCCCAATTTTTTTTTTTTTGGTGTTTTTGAGACCTGTAGCCCCAGCTGGCCTGGAACTCACTCTGTAGACCAGGCTGGCCTCAGACTCACGGTGATCCACTTGCCTCTGCCTCCCGAGTGCTGGGATCAAAGGCATGCGCCACCACGCCCAGCTGTTCCCCTGATTTTTAGAGACATGGTTTAATGCCCAAAATCATTGTTATTAAAGGGAGACAAAAAACAAGGATCAAGAAGTTGTTGAACAGAAGAGAAAAAGGAAAGAAAGTACCAAGACAGAGAGAAGGAAATCAGACAGCTTTTTAGGAACTTCTGAAGAAGGTATGAATGAATGATTGTTTATAATGTAGTCTGTAGTACTTGAGCTTTTTGGGGGGGGGGTCTTTTTGAGACAAGGTCTCTGTGCAGCCCAGCTGGCCTGGAACTCACTCTGTAGACCAGGCTGGCCTTGAACTCACAGAGATCCACCTGCCTCCACCTCCCAAGTGCTGCCTCCCACCAAACCCAGCAGTCCTTGAGCTTTAATGAGCATCACAAGCTGTTAAGAAATGCTTCACAAATGTTATCCACAATCTTCCTACCTTGAGTAATTTCTTTTTCCCTATAGTTCAGATCACATTTCTATTAATTGCTAATTATAGCTTCATCATAAAACAGTAATAATATCCAATTCTATTTTTTCCTTGTTTTGTTTTTTGAGATAGGGTCTCACTCTAGCCCTGGCTGGAACTCACTATGTAGCCCTATCTGGCCTCAAATTCACAGCAATCCTCTTGCATTGGCCTACTGAGTGCTGGGATTTACAGACATGAGCCACCACTGGATTTTAAATTCTGTTTTTAAAATGAACTGTTTTGTTTCTGATTATCTAATATACTGAAAAGAGTTTTAAATTCAAGCTGAGTGTGGTAGCACATGCCTGTAATCCCAGTACTCAGGAGTTAGAAGCAGGAGGGTCACCCACAAGTTGTAAGCCAGCTAGGGCAACTTAGTGAAACCCCATCTCAAAAACAACAACAGCAGTAACAACTACAACAAAACAAAGAGCCCAAACAAACTGGTGAGATGACTCAGTGAGTAAAGGCGCTTGCCACCAAGCCTGAGGACCTGAGTTTGAGCCCCAGAACCCATAGGGTGGAAGGAGAGAAAACTAAAGGTTGTCCTCTGACCTCCACATGCTCATACTCACAAATAAATGTAAAAACATATTTTTTGTTTTTTGAGACATGGTCTCCCTGTAGCACCAGCTGGCCTGGAACTCGCTATGTAGAACAGGCTGGCTTTGAACTCACTTAGATCCTCCTGCCTCTGCCTCCCAAGTGCTGGTATTAAAGGTGTACATGGCTTTGTAAAAACATTTTTTAGGAGTTTTAAATTTAGCTCACATAGATGCTGCAGAATTCAACAAGAAACCATGTATTCTAAAATTTAAGTGGGGTTTATATGTAATGAAATTTACAAATTAACCTTATCCTTTCAAAACTATTTGGATAAGAGTGTGTCCTAGTTTGTTCTTCATTGCTGTGACAAAACACTCTGACCAATACCAACTTGGGGAGGAAAGGGTTTATTCAGCTTACAACTCCCAGGTCGCAGTTCATTAGGGAGCCCAAGGTAGGAACTCAGGGCAGGAACCTGGAGGCAGGAACTAGAGTACAGGCCATGGAGGAACGCTGCTTACTGGCTTGCTCCCCTGGCCCCTGCTCAGCCTGCTTTCTTATGCAACACAGGCCCACCTGCCCAGGGGTGGCACCACCCACAGTGGGCTGGGTCCTCCCACATCACTCATCAAGAAGATGACCCTCAGACATGGCCACAGGCCAGTCCAATAGAGGCAATTCCCCAACAGGAGGCTCCCTCAGCCCAGGTGTGTCTAAACTGTGATAACATAGAGGCAATTCCCCAACAGGAGGCTCCCTCAACCCAGGTGTGTTAAGTTGACACTAAAGTTATCCAGCACAGAGTGTGTCAGGCTTTTAATATGCCATTTGTAAATGAGTTCCTCCTATATTTAAGTTTTTTTCTACTCAGAAGGTTAAGAGATATTCACCATGTCAGGTCATCTAGTCTTCCCCAGTCTCTTCTCCTCCTTTCTCTGCCCTGTTTTGTGCCTCAGGATGCTGACCCTAGTGGTTCCTTCGCCTTGTGGAAGACCAGAGGGCCAAGAGAATTGTTACAGTATTCCTTCCTTTCCTTTCCCTCCCTGCTTGAACACTTCGTATCTGGTAAAAATTGTGTCCCTCCATAAGTATGCTTTTTTATGAAGCTGCCTGTCCTTCCTAATTCCAATTCTCCGGTTCCGGTTCCAATAACTTCCTGCTATCCGTACTGCTCAGTCACTTTAAACTTAGGCTTCGTACTTCTGTTAGCCACTGGGTGTCTTGTCAGTCCTTGTTTGTTCTCTTAACTCTAATTATACCTTTGTATATAGTCACTTTGCTAAATAATCTTTATCTGTACTAACTTTGGGTACATTTTATTTCCTCCAAACCTCTGACTGGCTCAGGGCCCAGAGTATATGGGGCATTTAGTCAAGGCTGAATTCACTGAGAAGATCATTCAGGAAATTTGGGAGATAATGCAGGGACTTCTGGATTAGTGTCACTAGTGTCCACTGCTATAGCAGGAAGCTGTTAGAGGAGAGGAAGCCGTTAACTGTGTTTTTAGAAAAAGTCTATCTCTGTAGAGTAGAACAAATATTATAAGTAAAACAGCATATTGAACTAGAGATCACACTACTGTGAATTCTGAATTCTAACAGTCCTTGACCTAGAAAGTAATCAGGCTTTTCTTCCTCTTTTATTTCAAGATGAACTAAAACCCTGTTTTTGGAAGCGACTGGGTTGGTCTGAACCTTCCAGGTAATGAGATATCATATGTTTATAGGTCAGAGCTTATTGTTTATAGATTACATGAGCAGACTTAAAATATTTACCCATATCTAAATAAACATCACTGACAGACTGATTTCAGACCAGATTGCTCAATGTGTAGTTATATGTTTATAGTTAATAAATATAAAGTGAAGTTAATAACAACTTTGATTAAAGTAACTGGTGGTCAGCTCAAGAAGAGTTGTCATACAGAGAGAGCACAAAATATGTTGCTTTGTAGTCACTTTGTATTTCCACATGATACAATGTTGATCATAATTTTTCATGATTATACAGACCAAAATTCCTTTCCCTTGACTTCAACCGAATAGGAGGATGGGGTGGGTGTGTATGTGTGTATATTCAAAATATATACCAGGCTTAGGATGTGAGCTTAGTGGTAGAATGCTTGTGTACTATGTGAGAGGCCACGGATGTGATTCTAAGCACTACACAAGAAATTTTAAAAGTACATAGCAACTCACAATTCCCTTTTTTTCTCCTTTAAAATATATACAAACAGGATAATTGTCCTGGATCAGAGCGACTTGTCAGACTGACTGGAACTGTACTGTAGATGGATTCCAGCCCGAATTTGAGCATCCTTGTTTGTGACCTCCTTTTCTTTTCTCATCTGCTTCAGTTGCCATGAGGACAGTGATTCCAGTTCTGTAACTCACACTTTATTCTGCTGCCACTGTAGACAAGATAATGTGACCCTATCTGTGGCAATTCACTTAACCATTTGTTTTAAATCATATTTCTGAAAAGTGAAAGGTGACTGCAATTGTAAACATGTCTCACTGTGTTCAGAATAGCTTTTGGTTTTCTTGATGTAAATTTCTGAAAACTTTAACTTTTGTTATACAATAAATGTTTACTTTTAATACTAGTTAGGTGCCAGCTGTGTAAGATCTATTTCTGTGTTTTAGTTTGGGGGTTGGGAGAATTCCCCTTCACCTAGAACCAGCTTATTAGGTGATAGCAATAGAACCCTAAGAAAGATACTTTGAACTCCTTTTTTAAAAAAGTTATTTTAAAATTTTATTATTTTTATTGTATGTATATGAAGGTATTGCTTGCCATGTATATAAGCGTATCCCTGTTGCATAATGTCCATGGAGATCAGAAGAGGGCTCCAGATTCTGGAACATGGACAACTGCCATGTGGGTGTTGGGAATCAAACCTGGGTCCCCTGCAAGACAAGCCATCTCTCCAGTCCCTCCCCTACCCCTTTTTTTTGCAACAGGGTCCCCCGTAGCCCCAGCTGGCTTAGCGCTTACTATGTAGACCAGGCTGACCTCAATCTCACAGAGATACACCTGCCTCTGCCTCCCAAGTGCTGGAATTAAGGGTGTGCACTACCACACCCAGCTATTTTGAACTCTTTAAGATGAACATCATCTCCATATATTTTGGAATGTACACCTCACGTCATTAGGGTATTAGAAGAATGAACTGTGGTAAGATTAAGATCACAATGTTTCTTCTAATTTAGTCTCCTCGTGACTGCTAGCCAGATGCATATTTGTGTCCAGCCTGGTTTCCAAAGGATTTGTGTCCTTTATTATCTCCAGTTTAGAATTTTCACATGTGAATAGCAATATTTTCTTGGAAGCTTTATTCTGCTATGCAGCATTACCATTTTATTCTGTCTTGGTAGGTAATGGGTCTTTTGTTTGTGGAAATTGAATTGTTCCTATTGTAGATGGTTCATATTCATATTTTGAGATCATAGAAAATTTCCCTTGCACAGATAAAATGGAAGGTACAAATTTGTTTAGTTACCTTAAAGCAGAGAAACAGCTGCTTGCTGTTGTAAACAGAAGAAAACTACCAGAAAACAAATTAGTTACCTTGGCATGGTGGCCCATGAACACCTGTAATCATAGCACTTAGGAGGGTGGGTCAAGAGCATTGCCTCCAGGCCAGCCTAGACTACAATGTGAGACCCTGTCTCAAGAAAGCTAACAAAGGGGACTCAAGATGGCACAGTGAATAAAGGTACTTGTCACCAAGCTTGATGTCCTGAGTTTGACTCCAAGTCCCACATGGTGGAGGGAGAGAATTGACTCCTGTATGTTGTCTTCTAATTGCTGCACGTGCACACACACACACACACACACAATAAATAAATAAATAAATAAATAAATTTAAAAAGAGACTGGACGTAGTGGTGCATACCTGTAATCCTAGCAATATGGGAAGCTGAGGCAGGAGAATGGCTGTGAGTTCAAGACCAACTTGAAACTACCACGCTGTCTGTGTGACTGTCATCCCGTCTCTTTAAAACAAATCATAAAGAAAGCAAACAACAACCCTTCCCTCCATATAAACAACACTATGTGTAACTTTGAGGGATACAGAGCCTTCTGGTGTGGTCTCTCAAAAACTTAACTCTAATTGACTGATGAACTCACAAGTGTAGGTAGTGTGCTACACAAGGGGCAAGTTTTTGCTAACACTCCACTCTGGCCTGTGAGTGGAATTTGATAGTAACCTTTGCTACAAGTACCAAAAACAACAACAACAACAAAAGAACCAAAACAAAAAAACCCAAAAAACTTAACTCTAGTTGATGAGACAAAGCTCACATATGTAACAATGTAAAGACTAATAGAAGACATATCATGACAAATGGTGACTTATGTAATTAGGACATTACCAATTCATATGCACTAAGTCTACAGATTCTTTACTAGTGCCTCCTAATAAGGATTGTAATCTGTCTAGAGAATAGACTCCTCCATCTGTCCAGTGACTGTGAAATATTAGTAAATATTAAGTATAATAATATTGGTGGATATTATTTATTGGTTATAGAGTATTATGTAGCAGAACTATATTAATCCTTCTCTTGCACTTAGCAGCCACCCCATTGTTTTACTTATTTATTTTGAGACACTGCCTCACTATGCCCAGCCTCCCAACTGTTTCTTTAGGGTGCTGCTTTTCATCAGCCATTTCAGGCTTTGTTCCTCATTTCCCACTGACCCACAACGAATGACTTCACTTCCAACTTTACAAAGAAAATACAACTCATCGGATGAAAACTGACTCAGCTCCTCACCACCCAAACTCCTAATATGACCACATCTGTCTCTATAGAAAAACAGTTGTAGATGACAGAGTCTCTTTTGAAGCAGAGATGGATATATTCTGCACCTGTTCTCCCTACTCTCTTTTCTTTTATCCTAAAGGAATGCCCTTCTTCCTATTCTAGGTCAGTCTTGTCTCTGACCACTTAAGAGTTTTCCTGTGTAGGGCAGCATCTCTCTTTTCAATACCTTCAACTTTTTCTTTTTCCTTTTTTTCTTATATGTGTGTGTGTGCAGTATGTATGCATATGTATGTGTGGGTACATGTGTAGAGACCTAAGGTTGTTGTCTTCCTCAGTCCCTTGCCACCATAGTCACTGAGGCAGGGTCTCTCACTTGAACCCATAGCTCACTAATATGGCTAGTCTGGCTAGCCAGCCTGCTCCTCGGATCCTATCTCTGCCCTCTGAGAACTAGAATTAGAGGCAGGCTATGTTGCCCACCTGGTGGTTTGGGGGATCCAAACTCTGGTCCTCATACTTGTGGAGCAAGTTCTTTAATCATGGAGCCAGCCATCTCCCCACTCCCAAACTTTCTTCTAATATGATAATAAACTTTTTTCATAAGAACTGACTCATGGATTTTCCCTGAGCTGGGCATGGTGGTGCATACCTGTAATCTGAGAACTCGGGAGTTAAAGGCTGGAGGATTGCAAACTGGAGGTCAGGCTGGACTACAGGGTGAGTTCAAGACCAGCCTAGCTACATAGTTAGATCTCATCTCAAAAAGCAACAGAACAGAAGCTGGAGACATGGCTCAACAGTTAAGAGCACTTGCTACTCTCGCAGAGGAACAGAGTTGAGTTCCCTGCACCCACGTCGGGCAACTCACAACTGCCTGTAACTCCAGTTCCAGGGAATCTGACACCCTTTTTTGGCCTCCAAAGATTCTGCAACACATGTGGCACACACACATTGACATATGCCCATAAACTTAAAAATAATAAATCTGAAAACAACAAGACAAGCGGTAGAGAGCTTACCTCGTGTGTGAGGCCCCACGTTCAATCCTCAGCACTGCATAAAACAAAAAGCATATCCTCGATTCCACCTCTCTTTTCAGACACTGAACTATGCCTTCTCCCATTGTAGTTCTTGAAACGCTTGTTTATGCTTGCTGTCTTTAGTATCTCACTTGCCCAACTTTGGAAGTTACTCAGGTCACCAGTGTCTTCCATATTCCTAAATTATGTGGTCACTTTCCCCATTGTTTTCACTCCTTTCACCTATTCTCTCAGCTTTGTTGGTTCTTGTTTCTTTTTTCTTTGGTTATTCTACTTCAGCCTCCTACAGAGGCTCCACCTCTATTATTTCTCTTTAAGTTTTCTTCCTAAGTAACCCAGTTCATTTCCATGATTTCAGTTAGCATCTATGTACTAACAATCCGAGATCTGTATTGTGAGTCTGGGACCAGGCTCCCTTTCTTGAGTGCATATGCCTACATATATATTCAGTATCTCCTCTTGGATTTCTTTCAGGTATCTCAGTGACATATCCAATATTGAATTTGGTATAAGCCTCATCTGCTTCTAGCGTTCCCCTTCTAATAAGCAATATTACTGTTCTGTTATTCACTCAACCAGAAATCAAGAACCATCCTTGACTCCCATTCCCTTACTCCTTACATTAAAACAAAACAAAACAAAACAAAAACAATAAAGACTTGTTTCAAGCTGGGCATGGTGGCACACACACTCTCAGCACTTAGGAGGCAGAGGCAGGAAGATTGCCATGAGTTTGAGGCCAGCTTGAGCTATAGTATAAGACCTTGTCTCAAAACAACAATCCTCTCCCCCAAAAACAAAGTTCCCCCATCAAACAAAAAATTTGTTTAAACCTCCCAAATTTATACTCCTTATGCTCACTTCTCCAATTCCTGTTGCTGCTGCCCCCAGCCAGGCTGCCTCTTCCATCTAATTCAAGGCTGGCCTTGAATTCCTGGTCCTCCTGCCTCTACGTCCCAAGCGCTAGCCCCCACAGTTATCTTTTTACCATACAGATCTTGTTCAGCTCTTTGCCCATGGCTCTTAAAATACTAGACTTCTCTCAATTTGTTAAATGCACCATGGAACATGCTGTTCTTACCCCAAATGCTTCTCTTTTCAACTAGCTATATTATTTGACTCTTAACTATATTAACTTTCTCAGGGACTCTGAAATTTCTGAACTTTAGAATATGCTAGGGCCTTCTGTAAGATTCCTAGTACCTTGCTTGCTTGCTTTTCCACTCTACTCAGAGAGCATATTGTCATTTCTTTTTTTAAAAAGTATTTATTTATTATTATTGTGTGTGAGTGCAGGTGCCCATGGAGGTCAGAGGACAACTTTCAGGAGTCAGTTCTTTCCATCCATCATGAGCTCTGGATATAAAACTCATGTCATCTCACTGATCTCATATTTTCATTTCATAGTGCAAAGTACACTTACAAACCAGTGCTCCACCCCCCTGCTAGTATAAACTTTGGGTTATTCACTGAGGTATCCCAGGCTCCTAGCATATAAGCTGCAGATAATTAGGTACCCAGCAAATAGGTTAACTGAGCAATTAATTTTCATCCTTATAATACCACTAGAAGTTAGCTGTTATGATCCCTACTTAAAAAAGTATAGACTATTCAAAGAGGATTTCATGATCTTCCCTGGTCATATTGGAGCAAATGTATTTTTATATTTACACATGACAAAGTAACCTTCCCAAGGCTGCTGTGAGGAAATTTTTAACTGGAAGTAGAGCTGGTAAGACAACTCAGTCAATAAAGGCACTTGCCTGATGACCTGATTTTGATTCCCGGAACCGACAACAGAAAAAGAGACCTAACTCTGAAAGTTGTCCTTTGACCCCACACATTTATATTCATCCATTCATTCATCCATTCATTTTCTTTCTTTCCTCTTTCTAATAGTAGCTGATTAGATTGCTAATGAAAGGATTATGTAAAAGCACATTTATACTTATCGGGTGATACAGATGAGTGGTTTCCAGATTGAAACTAAGATGCAGGGAAATCAGGTCCAAGGTGCACAACTAGTCATTTATGATTAAAACAAACGAATTTCAGATCCTTACTATGATACTATATGCTTCTGGAATAATGTGAAAATTATTGAATAACCTAGGTTATTACCCTAGAGTCAAACCAAACCATTTATGAAACTTGGAAAAAGCTGGAACTCTATTTTTTTATTTGTATCCAAGAGTTTCAGACAAAATTGGAATAACTGTACAGTATAAGATACCTTATTAAATCTGAGGTAGCACAGCATAATTGACTTAAGTAACTGCCTTCCTAAGATCTTCTGGCTGATTTCTTCTCTGGATGAGTTCCTGAGAATTTCTAGAACCTTGGAAGAAAAAGGAAGGGGCTAGAGCCTTCTCTATACACAAGGACATCCCAGTTTTCTTAAAGACTTAGCCAAAGGCTTAGTGTCAAATCTAAAGACAGATTCAATTTCCTTCTGGGTACTGATCGAGTTTCTCTGAAGAACTGTGGCTATAAAACAGGATGTTTAATAGGAAGCACCTTCCTTTATGACATCATCAGAGAGATAGCTAAGGAATTGTTTGAAACACAGAACAACAGCCACTTTTGTGGGAGCTTAAGAACAGCAGCTTAAAAAAAATGAGGGTAAATATTCATGCTTAATCAGGATCCTGAAAACAAACCAGATGATAAAATATGGCATCTACGCAGAAGGCCACAGTCTTTCAGATGTTGAAGACAAGTAAAAGTGGGTCCAAGGTAGCAGTTTCAGCACATAGAGGGGCTGATGTTACTACCTCCATTCCTCAGAGGGGACATGGGTACATTCTGTCTTCAAGCCAGCGAGGTGCTGCTGCCTCCCTAAGCCCTTCTTCCCAGCAAAGATCAGAAACTGCATTTCCCACCACTTCCCACCACTCAACATCAGACTATCATCAATCTGTCTCCCCACAATCAGGGCCTGGCCTCTCTATAGTCTGCCCTTCATGGGGAACTGAAACCCGACAAAGAACGGAGGCACCCCGCCATCACTCTCCTCATCGAAAGAACCAGTTAGTCCAGATATCGACTCCCCATTCTTCAGGCACACATCGGAATGCTAGTCCAGTCAGAGAGGAAGCAACACGAAGGAGTGAAACCAAGCCAGGGCGTGAAGTTGGCTCTCGTTCTGCTTTAGCCTCAGATCGCAAATACCCCCGTCACTTAAGTTTTACAGGTGAAAACTTAGAGGAAGAGGACCCCCCATCCAAGGTCCAGAACCCCCAGGGGGTCAGAGTTCCCCATAAGATTTCACTTCACCTTAAAGATGAAGCCATACAAACAGAGCCCATCCAAAGGACTGCAGTTGACGTCAAATCTTCAAAAAGTATCTCTATCCCAGAGCATGGTAGTCGTGCCACAGCAGACCATCCTAGAAAGATCCCTAGCCACGAGCCAGAATCTGGTCATCACAGCTCAATTCTTTCAGAACCCAAGGCTTTGAATAGAAATTTGAAATTGTCATCAGGCCTCAAACTTTCTGTCCTTAGAGATTTAGATGGTAGGCCCCGAGTTCCTTCACGTTCTGTCTACACTGAAACAAAACCATCCTCAAAGGTTTTAATATCAGAAGTGGAGTCCAATGTGAGGTCCGCAAGCCAAGACCCTTGTGAGGTTGGACGTAAGGTGACCATCTCCCCAGCAAGACAGTCAACTCATCGTGTGACAACTCGAGTGGTATCTGAAGATCCCTATAAATCTCTTGTGTATCCAAAGCCCTCTCCAAAGCCCTCCATCCATGCAGAACTGGAACTGAGCCCTCGGCCTTTGCCCCCTCGTTCTTTACCTAGGTATGGGCCTGACTGCTCGTGGTGGACCTTACTGAATCCTAAAGTTGAAACGCCCCCAAGCCATCCAAGGATATCTGATTTTGAACCCAAGTCCTCCCCTCCCCTAGACCCTTTAGAGTCTTTTTTTGAAATAGACTCAAGCACTTTCTGTGAGGACCTGATGTTCCAGAGAGAGAAAGCAAGCCTACCACCATCACCAAAGGAGTCTTCATGCCAAGTACCATTCACAGAAGTGCCAAAGGCCCCCAAACACACCAGCAAACAACCCATTCACGGGTTTAATGCTTTCTTTCTGGGTATGTAAAGAAGCAAAGTGTCTGGGTACAGCCTACATTTAGTGAAACGGCATTATAGGTAGGACAAGCCCCTTCTTCATTCTGGGCCTCAGGGCTGTCTTCCTGTGTGTGCTGAAGCTGACTCCATCTTTGAGCCCAGTACTCTGTGTCTTTTCTGCCAGCGTTTCTGGGCTCCAAGACAATGACATTGATGAAAATGGTTGAGTCTGGTGTTCAGCATTGACTCTTGTAGGCAATGCAGCTTAACTCCAGTGGAAGGTAATAGAGAGTAATTTGTAGGGTCAGAAGTGAATTCCCGAGAGTGGAGCTAAGAACTGAGGTAGAGTGAGGGCTAGTAAGGTCTGTTAAGAATAAGGGTCTCAGGTCAGTATCCTGGTATCAAAGTGGAGCAGGTGGGGCATATATGAACCGAGTCTTGAGCTTCCAGGAGATGGAAGGTATTAACAGTGGCACAGAGAGGGTAAAGAAAATGGAGAGGGACAGTGGGAATGTGATACCTAGTCCTAGGTGGGAAGAGAGCTTCTGAAAAGGATCAGAGGCTGAGGCTACTGTTTGGTGGAGACATGTGAAGCTAGAAAGGGAGATTCAAGTAGTGGAGGGAGGATGTCCTCCGAAAGACAGGAAAAAGCAACAATTTCTATTACTTTCAGATGTTTCTGAGGAAATGTACAATCGGATCATCTGGTGGCTAAAAGGTCTGTGAATTTTCCTTTTGTGGGTATCTTGTGGGAGGTTGAGGGTGGGAAGTCAGATGAGAAGATGACTTCCACGTCTATACTGTAGGGCTAGGTTTCTTAAGAGAGTAATACACAATGGGGTTTGGGCCTGAATAAGCAGAAAAATCTTTCACCTAAAACTCCATTATTAGTTGTCCCTTTGGGAATTGGAGCCTTTTCATTTTCAATAGTCTCATTTTATTGAGAACTCGCTTCTGGGAAGGAGAACAATTTAAGTCTTATGGCCTTTAAGCTTACCTATCTTGTGTTTTAAAGAAAAATCCAAAGTAAACTACCTGCCTCATAGTCTTTTGCTGACTCCACACTGGTTCAGGATGGGGATTCTTCTCAAGCCTCTCAGAATCCTCCTCAAGCTCCCACCTGTTGTCCAGGTAGGACCTCCAGGGATGTCTAGATCTGTCCTCTCCATCAGTAGGTCTTACACTCACTTCTGGAAGCCTTAGTGTCTTGTTCCTTTTTATTCTTGGTCACGGATGGCAGGGAAGTATGGGGATCAAACCTTAAAGAGTGCATCTTGGCAGCACAGAGTTCTTGCTGTAAGCCTTATGGCATGATAAGCTTCCATCCCATGAACATGACAGAGGCCATGGCTCTGGAAGACAATTCTAGGGAGTAAAGAATCATGCAATCAACTCAGCCCTGAATTCTCCCATTTGGAGGGCCCAACCAGCATGAGCTGCTTTACATGTAGTGCACTTAGCATGGTGCTTGCCAGCAGTGAACACTCAGAAAATATTAGCTGTTCTTTGGGCCACTTGTACTAGGAAAGGACTTGGGCTGGGTTATGCCCATATCCACTGGGCGTCTTTAGTAACATTTCTTTTTCTCCTTATGTTGACACTCTCTGAATTCCATTTGCTGCTCCCTGGAATGCCCGGTTTCTACTTCTCTGTTATGACAGATGAGGAGGTAAGAATGCCTCTGGGAGTTAATTTCCAGTTGTCCAGTGACCCAACCTTTATTCCAGTTCCCACTCCTGTCCCTTGATGGAAGTGGGTGTGGAAAAAGATAGAGCTGCTCCCTATGGTTGGGCAGGTTGTTCATTGCACAAAAGGGCACCTGTGTTCCACCCAGAGATATTTTCACAAAAGTGTTATATGAGCTAGTTGCAGATTGAAGAGAAATAATAGACTTTTGGTAGATGATGAATCTTGTTAAGGGCTCTGTTGAAAGACTGGGCAGTCTCAGTCTCCATCTGGCTCTCCACTTTCCTGACTGGGACATGTCAGAAAGGGATTGCTTTTCTCGTTTACACATTATTTGGGTCTTCAAGTTGGAAAGACATAAAGTGGACTCTGCTTTTGGCAGTCCTCTGTCCTAAATTTGGTAGTGTCCTGATTTTGCAGTGTATTTATTATTCCCATGAGCATTTTTGCTTTTCTTGGTCCATGTTTGATAAGATGGTCAAAGCTCCTCCTGCTTCCATTCTTTCTCTTAACACATTCCTCTCTTACTCAAAGCCTAGCAGTGGCCTCTAGTGAGTCCCATCCATGACCGACTGACCCAGGATGAACAGTTGATTTCAGATGGAAAACAAATGAGTGGGAGACAGCCAGAAGTAGGATAACAGAACAATCGAAGGGGAAGTGTCCAGGAATACAGCTGCCACCTTCTCTGCTACAAGTTCTTATCCAGCCCTTGGCCCTGAGCTCAGCTATAGGTGGGAGCAGCTATTTTTAGAGATTTTCTCCATGCAAAATACTAAGTTCCTCCTTTTCTCTGTTCTATCATCCCTCCCTCCTTCCCTCCCCACTCCCTCCCTCCCTCTCTTCCACAGACAGTTTTTATTCAGATGTCTAGCACTCTGATGGGCACTAATTCCCATATACAAAGCCTTTGGCTTTAAGAAACTGACCATCTGGATGGGGAGATAAGACAAGGATAGGAAATGTTTAAATAATATGTAGTGGTCTGTGCTCAAATGTCAAAACAAACAATAGGCTGAATGAGCAGTCTTGGAGAGGGGCTTAGGAGAAGAGGAGTCAGCAGGAGGGTAAGTAGGAAATCCAGTTACACTCTTCTTTCCAAAGCCAGGAGGAGATTTCTTAACAGATGGACTTCTGTTCATCCCCTAATACAAATCTATACCTTTGGGAAAGAGTACTATTTTCTTTGGTTCAAGAATTGATGTTTGTGACTGAGCAAGCTCCTCTCCATCCTCCCCTACCCTCACCCCTTTTGCTGTGCATCTTGTTTAGCTTAGGAAGTCAAAAGTCTTGGCAGCAGAATAGCTTCTTCCCAAAATAGCTCTTATCCTGTCTGGATAATTACAGCTCTCCAGCCCTGTTCAGTAGCAGTGCTGCTCCCCAGAAACTAGGAAGAGAAGGCTTCCAGGCAGCTGGGCTGCTGGTCTTCTCTAGCTCTCTGGAAGTAAGGTTTACAAAGCTGGGCAAGGTAGTCTCGGTGAAAAATATGAGAGCCAGGCTTTCGTAGCCTGTCCTCTCAGGCTACATGGACCTCAGGCAGGCCCAGGATGGAGGCTTTATGGTTCTGGTGTCCAAGGACTCTGGTTCCTCTGATCTGGGAATGCTTGACCAGAGTCTGTTCCAGATTCCATTCTCAGCAGGAACTCTCTAGTGGCTCAACCCTAGTGGCCGGCTCGTGGAAGGCACTGTTTGTTGTTGAACTTCACAAGCCCCTCGGTCCACAGCTGGGGATGATGCCTGATTTAACCCACATCTCTGTCAATCCCAAATGGCCCTTCAAGGTCCTTTTGTCTAAGGAGTAGGGTTGAGAGGGTAGAGTCTTCTCAGAGAAGGTTGTGCTCAATGAAGGAAGCATTGCTAATATGCATGTACTAGCAGAACCTCAACAGGAAGGTCTTATGGGGGCTCTGATGGGTCAGGGGAGCTGCCTTCTTGCACAGCCCTGAGGAGTTCCTGGAAATAATGCAGCTCTTAATGTGAGGGGCTATAATACCTCTGATGGACAGGGCCCAAAGATCCTGTGTCTTTATAAGATATCTGACGTACTGGCCCCTGGATGTGACTTCTCAGCTATCAGGGTACAAGATGTTTTCCTCCTTTCTAAACTTATCAATTATACAAGAAACCAACTCTGGAAAATAGAGCAGAGGAGGTCATTTCATTGGTACCCAAGATAGACTTTGAATGCCTTCAGGGTAACATGTCATTTTGACTCCCCAGTGACAGGATGGCCAACCTGCTGTTGATGGCTGAGCTGCTAGGGATGTTTTGCCTTGGGGCACTTTATTTACAAGGGAAACCAAGTCTCTTAAGAACCTAGGACTATCTATGTTCATGGGGATGGTAACAGAATCCTAGAATTGTAAACTATCTGAAAGGAACCCTGGGACCTGTCTTTCCCATTTTTCCCATTCCTCTTGTTTTGTAGAGACTGGTAGTTGAGAGAATTGAAAGAATAGAGCTAAGTGGTTGAAAATGGGGCAGGACACATCAGGAGACTTTTCACAGCAGCTTGACCCCCAAGGAGATATCCAGTCAGATAGCACCTTGTTCATTTTCAGCTACTATGGGCAGCTAATTCTGGAGTAGGATGGAAAACTGGTGACTTCTGGCCATAACTTGCTAATTTGGGGACAGGTTAGGTTGACCAACTCATAAGGGTTTGTCACTGAAAGTCATGCTTTCCAAAAACCCTTCTTAGTCCTGGACAAACCAAGATCATTACCTACAACTTTGTGACATGGTCTGCCTCAACATTAACCTCTGGAAATATAAGATACAGGGATGATTTCTTAACTTCACTGTGAAACCTGGGCCGCTTACTCTTAAGTCTATGTAATGAAGACAGGAAAATGTGTTTCCTTCATCGTGGGCTTGATGGCAGAGCTCCTTAATTTTTTGTTATGTCAGAATAATCCCAAAATAGGCACAAATGTTTTGGACTTCCTAATGTATT